AAGAGAAAAGCATTTTCTTACATTCTTGTTGATATACACGAAATTTAAATATAAAATATAAAGTTGACAGAGAAAATAATGAATTTCTCTACGAGTATAATGGAACAATTTAAATTGCTAATATTTCATTCAGTGTAATACATTTCTGGACCATTTCGTTCTTTTTTCTCCAAATGGATAACGCAGTATTCTCTGGTCCAGGGGCGTGCAGTTTATAAAAGCAAAGATTGCAATGTTTTCTATAAAAAATCACCTTTTCAATATCGAAAAATTATTTGTAAACGTGCTGATAAACTTGTTAGACACATGGACACAACTTGTTAAACAATGAGAGATAAAGAAGAGACTGAATGACAAATAACTGACAAACGAAACAAAAAATAGCGTTTTTGCACTGGCTAATTGGGTGACAATGTTATAATACAAATTTTAACTCATAGAAACAGAACAGAAAACCTTAACCAAATTTAGGGCAACTTCCCAGCTATGTTAAAACACCGGTTCCTCATAGATTATCGAAGTTAAGCGACCTTAGAAGATGTAAGTGGATGGACCGGTGGCCGTCTGGAAACTCTATCGTGCTGTTGTTCCATAGCAAGAGTGTAAGATCTATGACACACACTGCTCACTCAGGGCGGCGCGGCGGTTTAGGGCCAGATGAGGTCAAATATCTCGTGAGTAAAGCTTCATTCAGAACGTTGCATTTAGTGGTTTTAATTACCCTTTATACTTTTTAGTTCACGATCATTCACAATGTCCAAAAAACACAATTAAAATTAATAGAATATCCTAGCAACAGCTTGACGGTAATCAGTGGTATCCATAGAGAAAACCCAATATAATTAAAGCCTATATTTAACTTATAAAACAATCAATTTTTGGTTTCTAATCATAATTTCTTTTGACGGATGATAATCAAAGGCCAAAATGACATTCCTCGCAAATTTTAAAGTATAATTAGTGAAAAAGTTAAAAGCTTGGTAACCTTTTCCACTATTGGATTGAAAATTCCTACCACTAATTTTAACGTTCTGAATACTTACATTCATATTAGAGAAACCAACTTCTACACTAGAATGTAGAATGTTTAGGAGGGGAATTAATCAACGCGACCTTGCAGATCTATTAAGTGTTTCATTTCACCCTTTCTTGGGTTATAACGAGTTACAGTCAGAGTTTCTTCAGTTACTCATCATACAGTCTCAGGGCTTTAGCAAAAGCCAGTATCTGAGACGGCTCCACATAGTCCAGCTCTCCATCTTCGATATCAGCCGTACCAAAGTTCATGGCATGAGGGGTCGTCGTCTCGGCGCACTCAGTGATAAGGTGTTTTGGTGTTTCCCCATTTTCCACACAGAATCTGCACTTTTTTTTAGCTTCAGTCTACTGAGATGTTCATTGAAGAAACACTATCCTGTCACAATCCGAAAAATATTCTCACTTAAATCAAGGAAAATCTTTAATTTTTCTCGGTCGTAAGTTCTGAGGAACTTTTTCTCTCGAGTGTCTTAGACCGTTGCAGATCACCCATTCCAGGTTACGGATGGAGTCTTCCAGATTCTTCAGTTCCGCTTTCTGTTGGTTCCCGCTTGGAAACTTCGTTCTGAATGCTTCATATTAGAGAAATAAACTTCTACACTAATTGAAACCACTAATTTATTCCACTAATTGCGAGGTTCTGAATGAAGCTTAAGTGTGGATTTAGATACTTGTTAAGTCGGTAGACTATTGATCATGATATGACCGAGGACCGCTGTTCCGATTTCGCGTAAAGAAAGTAGGCCTCGTTCTGATTAGACTTAGTAGCAAAAAGGAGACATTAAATGCCAATTTTAATAAATGTGCTGTTAAATTTAGCAGACATTTCAAGTTTTTTTGCAATAAAAAGAGATTGAATGAAATATAATAGGCAAACGAACCAGGAAAGTCAGCCTTTTTTTACTGGTTACGGGTATATTTTTAATCTGTAATAATAAAAATTTCAGACAAATCATAGAGCCGGAACAGAAAACTATAATCAAGATAAGAAACAAAATGTAAGCTAAGTAAGAGGAGCGACGTGTTGTCTTATTTAATTAGTTAGTATTGAAGAATTTATAAAAAGTAATCAAAAATAATCGAATTTACTTGAATTACAAATAGGGGACTTTCTAAAATCAGCATACTCTTCACTTAAAATTTTTCCGCACGCTACTGGCTGTTTCCTTTTTCCTGCAAATAACAAAGTATTCCACGGCAGTGGAAATAGGCCATAATGTAACAATGGGGACGTCTTCGCAAAGTGTCGCTTAATTTGCCAAAACACACGTAATATAAAATTCGAGTGAAAAATTGGACTCTAGAGAAGACATAAATAAATAAATATAGTGCCTCTGCTTGTTTTATTTGAAATGTTTGTTTTTTCTCTAATTGCTTTCTCTTCTTCCGTCAACAGACGCGGTATCCATCGAGAAACTATTTTTTTTTCAGATGATATTTCATATAATTTTTAAAGTAAACTTTCTTTACGCGCGATGGGAGTAAAAATTAAAGGCACACACGAGACGCGCTCTCGCGACGAAAGTGGTAACGTTGACTTTTTGATCTGGGAGCGTCGTAACTCAGGCCCTATGTGACCTAGGGGGCTGAAACTTGGAATGATAAAAAATGGTAAACAAAACTTAATTTAATGATATTTTGACGATGCCTCGTGCTCTAGGAAACCCCATCAACAATGAATCAAATAAAAAAAAATCGTCCGATTTAAATGAAATTTGCTATATCGATAGATTGAACCAACGCCAACTTGACCGTGTACGACACGTGTCACTGTGACAGTTAGTTTTGACGTAAGAAACGTCAAAATTTGTGTCGTCTGATTGCGACCAAATTTGGTAGGTAGGCTATGTGAGCGACGATGCACACGGTTCCAACCTGTAAAGTTGGATACATCGTTTTGTTTACATCTTCATCAGTGCGGGACCAAAGATTTGATATTGAAGAAAATGTGGGTTGATTTCGGCATAATTGGGGAGGGGCTACAGGATGATGCCCTCGACCGCGACGTTTCGAACCAATGCCTCTAAATGGACGATCAGGATTTTTATTAATTATGGGTCGATTGGAACTCGGCACGTGGGTAAGAGTACTGGAATGTAGTTCTCAGATAGACAGACAAGAAGATGGACAGACAGAAAATGGAAGTAAGAAGAAGTTTTACTTCAAATATGCGTACATAGTCCACATAAAATTTTTTAATTGAGGTCTTTGAAATGCCCAATGATGCTTCAATTTAACAATATGTTAAATATCGACCTTCTTGGATCAGCTTACGGTACAGCATCGACGTTTTTCTGGGTGACTGCCATTGCTGGTGAACCTGTTCTTGGATTGTTCTTAAGACTAATGCGTCGACGTTTAAATTCTCGATACTAACGAGAAATTGTCTGCTGATGTGGTGTTTCATTGCTGAAAAAAACAAACCAAGTTGGCAAGACATTATTATTGAGGCAACTGTCTTCGAAATTCGTAAAAAATATTGCGCGAAAAATTTCTCGGCTTAATTCCATTCTCCACTGACTCGGGAAGATACAACATTTAGTTTAGGTTCAGCTTTAAACGAAGCCGTCTAAGATTTTGCAGTCCAAGACATAGCAGTCTAAGTAAAGTCAACTAAAATTATAAAAAAAAATTGACATTTGATATATGTTGACGGGCATCTACTATGTTTCTAAATGCAATATACAATTTTTTTCATATTTTTTGATGAGGAATCAACGAGTACTTATTTCAAACCCTCGCAAGTTAATATTAATTTTTAGCCGACCATACCCTCAGGTAATTTCACTCAAAATGAGTTATTTGGGTCATAGATGACCTAAATACAAAATATTTTCATGGTGTCGGTCTGTCTGTCTGTCCGTCTGTTCGTCTGTAACACGGTAAAAACCGCTAAACCGATTTTATCCAAATTTGGCACAAAAATACTGTTGCACCCTAGAATCTGGCTATTAGTTTTTGGTGGAGGGGGGGGGGGGTGTATGGGAGGGGGTTAAAAATTTTAAAAAACCATAACTTCAAAATTACAGTAGCTAGCGAAACGCGGTTTTCAATTTAAGATTAGGAAGAATATTTGCAACAAAATTTGTCAAAGTCGCAGTTTTTGAGATATTCCTTGTTTCCGTAGTCCGTTTTGAGAAAATCCGTGTGGAGAACTCCGAACTCCAAACTCCCATCGAACGCGACCCCAGGTGGCGGATAGGGGAAATAACCGCGGACCAAAATTGGAAAAATTCCTTTACTTTGAAACTAAAAGAACTGCCTACCAACTTTTTATTAACATATTTTAGTATGGGCGGCTATGTACGTGCCTCCCGGCGCCATTTTTTTAAAGGTTGCTATTAGACTTAGATCAAGGAATCGGCATTAAACTTTCACTATTTCGCTAACACTATTTCGCTAACAAGAAAAAAAAAGTCAGTGGCGTACATGCTTTTTTAGAAAAATATTCCAGTGATAACACATATGCACGTCTCTAGTGAATATGTCGACACCTTTTTAGCTTTAAGATATGTTGAATTTATAATAACTTTTACCCTCAAAATTTCATTCAAAACGCTAAAGTACTCTGAAGAAAATCATGATAAATCGAAAAAATATTAAGATTTTAACACCATCTAGATACGAAACAAAGCAGAATCGGACCTATGTTGATATGAAAAATAAATCTTATTTTTACGTGAGAAATCTTCCCACGAGAGATGGCACATGTTTTTTGAAACACCCTGTATTTTGTAACAGTATAAGCAAGCAAGTAAATATTCCTTTTTTAGGTTTTACAACCTTAACAATGAATTCTTTGCTAACTTTATCTCTATATACAAGCAGGATAATCATAGGTATTCCATCCATCTTTCTCAAAGATAACGCCTATCGATACAATCTCTAAAGACCACATTTGCATTTCCCATTATCCAACTGATGCAAGTTAACAATGAAATACGTTAACAAAAGATACTCACGTCCACGTTGACCAGCTTGACGGGAAAAGCCTTGAATGGGGGAGATTCCTTCGGGATATATCTGTAGAACTCTTCATCATTCCAATACCACTTTATGGAATACAATGCGACATTTTCCAAGTCGTATTCGCACTTGAGAGTGACTGTGTCCCCGGATTTTACTGCCTCCGGGACTTTTATTACCATTGATTTCAGCGACGAGGTCTCTGAAACAAGAAAGGAAGGCTTTTTGAATAATTTCGTCGACGTATAAGCTCGCAATCTTTTGTAATACAATCTTGGAGTATATGAAAATGATATTTGGATAGCGAGTTGTTTCGAAAAATTGTATTTATATAAGGTATTTTTTTATATAGAATGCTTCTTCAAGGACTACTTCTAGTAATACAGGGTTCTGCAATAGTACTTAAGACTGATCTGTAGCTCCTACAATAAAAACAAACTTGTGAATTTTTCTACTCATAACTTAGGATTATGTAAAGTGATCTGAAAGTAAGCCAAAAATGCAATAATAGACAGGGTGTTCCATATTTAAAAAAAATCGTACCGATCCACTCATACCTTTTTGAGCCACCCTGTAGAAGTTAAAATATTATCCTGACAAACATCCTAGTACAAACTATAGGTTTGCATTTAAACAAAATTCCTATGTTTTCTATTCTAGAAGATACAGATGCTCCGACGCGACGCGCTTATCACTACTCAGAAAAATAAATCGTGGGTGTTTGGGAAGGCTCGAAAGAAAACAATGTTTTTGCGACGTTTCGCGTCTTTATTGTCGCTTCTTCAGGCACCAAAACATATATTTATCTATGTGCCTACAAATATTCATGGCGATTCCAAACGCCAACACTAAGACACAAGAGGAACGAACAAAATTTTTTTGTCCGATGTCCACCGATGCTCGGTTTGTGTCGTGCATAATGTTAATATATGTTTTGGTGCCTGAAGAAGAAACAATAAAGTCGCAAAACGTCGCAAAAACATTGTTTCCTTTCGAGCCTTCCCAAACACCTACGATTTTTTTTCTGCGTATTAACTACTGGGAACTAACAATAATCATAACTTATTACTACTCTGATCGGTTGTATAAAGGGTTCATAAATGGCATTTAACAGGGTGCAATGTTTCTCACCTTATATTATTCTGTTTCGTTTGAGTAAATTCTCAAAATCGCCCTTTGGGCGCCTCTACAATTAGCTTAAATCTTGTTTTATTTCTAAACAGCCTCTACGCTGTCCCCGAAATGTTTTACGAAATATTTCTGGAAATATTTCGTCAAACATTTCGCAAAACATTTCTGGAAATACTTTCTGAAGTAAAATCAAATATAAGCCCGTGTTATAATAATTAGTTCCCACGTTTCCTGAAATAGAACCAAACAGACCGAGATTAACAATAAAAAACAAACAACCAATCACCGCGCGTCTGGGTCTATTTCAGAAAACGTGGGAACTAATTTTTATAACACGGGCTTATATTTATTAATTACTATTTTGTGAAATAGCACGAAGCAACCAAGGTCAAACCTTGTGGCCGCCAGTATGAATAAATATCGTTGATTTGTAATATCATTTCAGTGTAATGTATTACTGTATTACTTTTTGTTCTTTAATATCTATTATACATATTATAAACGAGTGTTCAAACATTAATTTTGTGGAATATATATCAACATAAAACGAGATGTAATTAACGAAATATTATCGTAACAACAGCTATTTTAGAAACCTCTAGGTTTACTTATTTCACTGAGATTTATGAAAAAAACTCGTTTGCCTCGGTTACAGATACCGCCACGTTTTGGAAATAGCTCAAAACAAAACGAAATTGAACGAGGCAACAGGAAACGCCAAAAAAAATCCCCCATGCCTTCCTCACGGGTAGTTTTCAGGCGCTTTTAAGAATCGAAAGTAGGTCGAGACAGATCGAAGTAGGTTAACACAACTGGAAATAAACCAAAATGCGACAAAGTTGGGCGACAAAACGCGACCTTGACCGGCTTCGAAGTGTTCTCTGCATAGTGTAGGGCGTGTTCTACATGTATTGTAAATAACACTAATTTTTACGAAGTAGTTCATAAAACGTTGAAAACTTCATAGAGAAAAAACGTACTATATAAATGGTGTGTTCTAATAAACCTGTTAGTTTTCCTTTGTATTTTTTTCTCCGGTAATAGGATTTGGAAAGTGGTGACTCGGAAAAATGTTAGTTCAAATTCGATTTGGACGGAATTATTTCGGCGCTTAAAAGGAATATAGAGGCAAAAAACTGTCTCTGCAATGGTGCGGATTGAAATACTGATTATACAGCATGTGTTCGTAGTTTAAAAGCAGCAATAAAAAGTAAAAGTAAAAATAAAATGTAAAAGAGATTAAAATATAGCATAAATTGTGGCGAGGCTATTTTGACATTACAGTCGAGGCACAAAATAGCTATTTATGTAACAAAGTTGCGAAATGAATGTGTTTTAAGCACGGGACGCAAAATTACAACGGACAAGGTGTCGATTTTACATTAAGATTCATCTCTTAAGTCCATCACAAACTGGCAGCGCTGTCGGCATCGCTTGTCACTTAAAGTTGATCACGTGCATCGGAAATTGTTTTGCGATTTTTTATTTTTATATAGAGTATCCCATTACAAAAAACACAACTTTGGTGTATAACTTTTTTGTGACACCCTGTAGAACCCTCTCTATTTTCAAAAAGTGCTCTGAATTAATCTACATATGCTCATAACATTTCATTTCAATACAAACTGTCGTTCTCCTTGAAGCCTCCGCGTCGTATGAGAGGCGCCACCCTGTACAGGGTGGGTCAAATTCGACGCTTTTAAATGGAAACACCCTTTTCTGTAGGAGATAGACAAAAACTAATATCGGTGTCTGGAGCTTAATTTTTGTCAAAAACAAGATGGTGAAAACTGCTATCTGTTACCGTTTGGGAGTTACGGGGTGTTTTTCAAAAATATGCATTTTTAACAAATCGCTATAACTTTTTTGCTATGGAAAATTTTGTATTTTTATGAAAACATTTCCAAAGCACCTTTTTACGTAGAATTTAATGGTTTAAGTATAATTTTTTTAGAATTAATAATTGTATATGTTTACTTTATTGAAAACATTGAAAAGAATTTAAAATTACCTTTCCGAAAATATAACATACTTGGTATTTTGCTCGATTCTTCTTCGAGATATAGAGTATATAAAAATTCGTCCGCTTTAAATAAGTAGGCTTTGAACGGCACCGGCTGTAATGCAAAAAAATGTAGCTGTGAGCATCAATTAAAACGAAAATAATATTTGCTGTGAGTGATGCAGAATTTTATAGCAATTTAAAATATATTTAACCAACATCAACACATTTAAACTATATCTAATAACAATAAAAATAAGTAGCAAACGAAGATATGAGATTTTGCTACAGGTGTTCGACATATCAACCGTCTTCTGTTATGGGCAGACGGTGCAGTTTTTGAACATTTCTCGCGGTATTCATTAACTCAGTGGGAGCGAAAGATACCCTCTCATAACTGCTAAGTATTTTTAATTCTTGTCTAGATTATACGGAAGAATAAGGAACCTTTATTCTTCCGCAAATATATCCATAGGATTAGATCTATGGGTACTAAGTCAGGCGGCCTCGACGACCAACGGCTGAGATTTTGGTTAGCTATCCAATTATTCTTGAAATTGGCTACAAAAATTTGCTGATAACTTCAGCGTTCAGAGGCGATGCGTCGTCTTGCTGGAAAAATATGTTTTCGAGTTCCATTAAAGGCATATCATCAATAAAGCCTACTAGTTAAAAGTGGCGAGCTTTTAAAAATTCTGTATTTTGAAGGGGATTATAACAAAATATCAAATGTGCTACGTTTTTGAAAAGGTAATTTTAAATTCTCTTCAGTTAATTAAAAATATATAGGGTGTCCCAAATAAAAAATCAATTTTTCTGTTGATAACTCTTAAATTATTAATTTTAAAAAAATTATACTTAAACCATTAAATTCTACGTAAAAAGGTGCTTTGGAAATGTCTTCATAGAAATACAAAATTTTCCATAGCAAAAAAGTTACAGGGATTTGTTAAAAATGCACATTTTTGAAAAACACCCCGTAACTCCGAAACGGTAACAGATATTGATGTGCGGATTTCACCATCATGTTTTTGATGAAAATTGAGCTCCAGACACCGATATTAGTTTTCGTCTATCTCCTATAGAAAAGGGTGTTTCCATTTAAAAGCGTCGAATTTGACCCACCCTGTACACTCTACAATCTAAAATCTAGTTTATTTTAACAGAGAAAGAAAGTATCTTAGTATCTTCTTCAGGCTGCTGCACTAATTTTGATTTTTGTTAAATGTAAATACGTTATTAACAATGCGCTTTGGTCTTCTGGGTCAATGCAAACGAAACGGTCAGCAAACAACGCGATTCATAATTAAACCTTGTCCTGGCGGAACGTACACACTACGAAACGTCGTAAATCCCGGCACTTAGAACCGCCCACAGTAATAACCTTATATTTAGCGGTAACACTCAACACGAGAGCAGCGTTTCTCAATTCGTACTCCGCCCTATTAAACTGGGGCCATTAAATTTAAAGGGAAAACATTTATTTATTATGGTAGAGGCTAAAACAAACTTCTAGCTAGGCTACGCTATAATAAAATAAAAACTTTGAATTGTAGTCATAACATTTATTTATTATTTCGGAGGCTTGGAGGTAAACTTGGAGGTAAATTATGCTAAACAAAACAATAACTCCTAAAAAGACTTAAGTAAAATTCGAGAAAAATAATTTTTTGGAATACATTTCCAGATCTGGAAACGTTCTATCCTTTTTTAATCTTTCTATAATTATTGTTAATTTTTGACAAGTTGTACAGGGTCCGGCAATAGTGCGTCGGGCATCTGTAGCTCCTAGAATACAAAACTTGAGAATTTTGTTTTAGTGCAAACCTAAAGTATGCACCAGGATGTATTTCAGGAAAATATTTTAACTTCTATAGGGTGGCTCAAAAAAGTGTGAGTGGACCTGGATGATTTTTTTTAAATGGAACACCCTGTATATTATTGCATTTTTGGCTTCCTTTCCGATCACTTTACTTAACCCTAAGATATGAATAAATACATTTTGATAGTTTCAGAGATATTAAAAAATAAATCAAAAATATATTTTTTTCAGCCCTTCTTAAAAAAAT